CCACACACCCCCGCCCCCTGTCCATCCTCGTCAGGTGCACCTCATTGACTCTCGCCGCTGGGGCTCCTCAGACATCCTGCTGTGCCAGCCGCCACCGCCCCCCGAGGAAAGCGGGGAGGCGCCCCTGGGGGACGACCCCAGTGACATCAGCGGCATCGCCTTCACGCCCTCGGTGAGGCGGGACAATCCGATGTTCTGATGTTTTCCTTTGACTTGGTTATGATTTTTGCAGCGGGCGGTGGATAGGAGCGGTCAGGGCGTTTGTGCGCTCGTGGAGAGGGATTCACGTCACGTCACGGCTGATTGTTTGGCTGGGTTGCGGCTCGCAGGTTCGGCCGGGGAGGGGTGTGTGGGTGACGCTGGGTATTGTGGGCGGCGGAGACAGGTTGCCCTTGATGGGGCGCGAGCGGGCAAAGGCCATCAAATCATCTTCGAGTTTGGGACGTGCTGCCTGAGAGTAGAGCCAGGGTTTGGGGTGAGGACTGCACCCTCTCGACCACTACCCCCCCCCCCTTCACCCTGTGCTTTACTCATCTCACCCATCACCTTCTTTCGAAGCCGCCCTAGCAACCACCCTCATCGAGCCGCGCTCTCCCCCTCCCCCCGCCCCCGTCCCGCTGTCTCCAGGGCCGGCGGCTGTGGGTGGGGATGCGGGACGGCTGCATGGGGTGGGACGTGGACTGCAGCCGCCGCACGCGCTTCTCTACTGAAGATGTGGCGGCGCCCCGCTCGCCACAGCGGTGACCGCAGCGGTGAAGGTTCGGGAACCCAACTGCAACAGAATACAATGCATAGTTTATGCCGCTTAGCAGCGCGGCGGCGGCGCGCGACGCGCCGCCGTGGAGCAGCCGCCCCCAGCCGCCACCTGTCCAGGGGAAACGAGGCGCGCGACGCAGTCTGACGCAGCACGCAATGTGGAGCTGAATTTGCTGCCGCGGCGTTACAAAGCGCGGTCGTGCCGCTTCGTCGTGCCGCTTCGTCGTGCCTTTTCGAAGCAGCACGGGGACCACGCCCCTGACCTGGGCGTTGTGCGTCCAATTGCTGCTTTTGGCTGACGTGTGACCGGGGCAAGGCAGGCAGCCCGCCCAGCAGTGCCACCAGGGCTGCAATGGGGACAGCAGTTGTCGGGGATTTGATGCGCTCAACGGCACGACTGCGTCGCGTGCGTTTTGCTGCAGCTGCACGAACATCACACTTGTGCCACGTCGAAGCGCACCCTCATCCGTCTATGTCAACCTCTTCGGGGGCCCAACGGTCACAGTTGCTGGCTGCACCGCCAGTGGGCGTTGTACCTGCCATGCGCCTGTTGGGGTGTGTCACATCGGCCTTGGCTCGCCGGCTGGTAGGCCCGTGCGTCCTTGGTGTCTCATCCCTGCTCGTGCCTCTCTGTTTCATACATGTATAGGCGTAGGTTGAATCAGGCGTGCACGCCCTTCTTGCTGTCAGGAGAGATGTTTGTACGATGCTTTTACCCTCACACGTGCGCCAGGGCAGCTGGCGGAGCCCTAGCGGCTGGCGCCCTGTTAAGCCAGTAGGTCTCGCTGGCACGCCCCAAGGAGCTTGGCGTACATTCGGCGTTCTGCGCAACCGGTGGTTGCCAGTCTTTGGTGACGACCACCGTGTCCAGGATGCTGTTTCTTTCAGTACGCATTGGGCGGGGAGCTGCATATGTCAGCCCGCTTGACCCTGCGTTTGCGTGGTTTTCCTGTTCGTGCATTGGTGCGTTGCTGCGGCCGGCCCCTGACTCATACGCGCTTCCCTGCCCTCACCAGCCTCCATTCACCGACATGCGCTGGTGTCGGGGACGTTGTGCCTCAGCTTTGCCAAGATGCCCTCTGCACGCGCACGAGCAAACCTGTGCATCTTTGCCTCCTCTGCCATCTCATGTAATCCGTGCGCAAGCTGAGACTAGCGATTGGTCACACGGTGATGTTTGGAGAGGTTGGCCGCCACCGACGACACTGGACACAGCAAATGGCAAGCAGTACTGTAGTGTGCACGAATTGAATTGCGTACTGATGCCCAAATCCGCTCTACCGGTGCTTCTTGCTACACACCAACACCAGCACGTCCGGCGGCAACGCGGCCAAATCGGCGGCGTGGCTTGACTCCATGGTAACACCTCCGAAGTGTCCATGAAAGCAGCGCAACCAACTGCCCTGCGGGCACAGCACGCCAAAGTCATGGCTCATGGGCAGGTGCACCTGCGTGCCTGGATGCAACCGCGGTGGCATACGCCCGAGGCGCCAGCACCTATTTTTCATCGGCAACTGGCCTACATACACGTGCAGCCGCCAGTGTTGCATGCGGGCTGGTCATGGTGCTGCAAGTGATCGACGTTGACTACAGCGCTGTGTCACACTCCTCCGACCGCCTGCCGGGCACTACTGGTGGCACACGATTTTGTTTTGCGGGTGCTCAGCAATTGTGGTGGTTTGTGAAAGTGCTGGTTAGAACCGAGCATGCCGGGTTGCCAGCCCAGGAGGCTTTGGAGGTGCGCTAAACTGCAATGTGGCAGCCAAATAGGGCGCCAGTAGCGTACGAGCTGAATCAGGTTGTAACTGGTGAAGTTTACATTCGGGGGCGCACCCCAACACCAGAGCCGCACCAGGCTGTTTTGCTTGCTGACATATTGTGACAAACGCAGCATCGAGCTGGCCTCACGGTGCAATTCTTAGCTGGTGCGCGCGCGAGGGGGCACCTGCTTCAAACCTCAGCGGTTGACTGTCCCCCAACCTGCTACGCCTAGCACCGGCTGCCAAGTTCAAATCAACGAGTCAATACGGCTGTCTCAAGGAAACTTGTGGTCATCGCTGACACGTGCGCGCATGGTTGGCCGTCATTACCAGAGATGTGTGAAAGTTCATGGAAGATTGAAGCGAAGTGCCTGAAACGAGGACCGCGTGCTGTCACCCCTGGCACCCCCCCTCAGCGCCAAAGAAAATCTAACCTGGAAAAAACTCTAACCTGACAAAAAAAACTCTGGAGCAAGCAGCTGAACTACCTGAACACCGACAAACCCCTTTCCCACATGCGTGCATGCATGAGAGTGACACCCCCTGCTGTCATGACACGAGTGAAGCAAGCAGCTGAACAACATGAACGTCTGCTTGCCGCACCCAGCGCCCTGACAAAGATGACACCCTCGTAACACACATGCAGGAAAGCAGCTTGCTGCATCCAAGGCACCCAGCAGAATGAAAATGGCTCTGGGCCAGGAAAGACGGGATCTCCCACACACCCCCAAGAAAAGTTGCTGAAGCTACGTGCACACGTGTTGTGATGTGTACGCTGCCCTTTCCGCAGGACTCGCTGACATTCATCTCATCATCTACGTAGCCAAAAGAGGCGGCCGACTCGAACGCGGCGCTCAGTCACGCAGGCACAGGAGCCGCCCAAACACCTCCGCCCACGACTGCCGCGGCGGACGCATGGGCGCACAGGCCGGCGCGGCCCCCACGGCGCCAGACGTGCTGTCACGACGGCTGGCAGCGGCGCTGGGCGGGGCGGTGGCCTCAGGCGGCGTGCCGGGCGCGCCCCTGACACTGCTGCGGTTGCTGCTGGCGCTGCTGAGGCGCCTGCTGTTTGCATCCTCCACCTCGGCCCTCAGCCGGTCCACCTCGGCCTATGGGCAGTGGGAGGTGCAGCAAGAGGTTCAATCACGACTGGCTTCTCCACAGTCTTACAGTTGGCAAGAGGCGGAGGCGCTGCTCAGGGTGCTGAGCACAAGCAGGCGCCAAGCACAGGTTAGCTTACATTCTTCAAAGCTTGACGAGGCGGAGAGGGCACACAGCTCGTCCACCGCGCCGTACTGCGCTCCCACCCCCGGGTGCCTTGCCGTCGGCCCCTCACCTGGAGCTGGAAGGCACACGCGACTGCCCGATCGCGCGACTCCTCCTCCGCCTTGGCCTTGGCCTGCACAGGTGGACAGATGACAGCGTGATTATTCAGGGCTTGATTTCGCATGCATGATATCAGTGAGGCGCACAGAGTGGGGCTTGTGGAGCTTGCAGCAAGTCGTTGCTTGAGACCAGGACAGCCTGCAAAAGAGCAGCTTGCCGGAGTTCACCGCTACACAGCAGCACACCCCCACCTGGTACATCTTCATCTCCTCGCAGATGGTCTTCTCCGCGGCGTTGCGCTCCTCGGCGGCAGTCTCCTTGGCCGCCGCGGCGGCCTGCTGGGCGGCGACGTAGCGGTCCTTCTCCCTCCAGAGGGCAGCCTGGGCGGGGCCAGGATGGTGGAGGCGGGCAGGACAAGTTGGTTGCGTGTGAAGCGGCATTGATGTGCGTGCAGAATTCAAGCTTGATGCCGGGGGTTTTATCATATTGTAACTCCAGTTGTGAGGTGCGGCGTGGGGGTGCGTGGCTGTTGCGAAACAAAACAGTGAGGCACGCCGCCGCCCGCTTGTCGCGGCTAGCATCATACCAGACTTCAAAGGGTCAATGTTGTCAAATTTGCATGCAGCACCCATGTGTGCATTATTGCCCCAGCTGTGAGCTCACCTCGAGCAGCTTCGCCTTCTCCTCAGATGCCTCACGGATCGTTGACATCTTGTTGAACTCGGCCTGAGGTCGTGGGTGGAGAGGGGTGGCAGGCTGATCAGTCAAGAAATGAGATCATTGTGTGGGAGCTCAGCGTTGGGTGACAGCTCCCATGGCTTCGAACGATGAGGCTCAGCTCCACGCTCGTCAGGAACTTGAATCGTCCCGTGGATGCTTCTTGACAATATTGGAACCCCTCAACCCACCTCGAAGGAGGCCAGCTCGCGCTGCGCGTCCTGCGCGGCCTGCACGGCCTCCCTGCCCTTGTTGACAGCCTCGCGCAGGCCGGCCTCCAGCGCCACCACCTTCTCCTCCTCCTGCTCCAGCCTCGCCTGTGTTGAGCAATCAATTCATGGCGCGCGTGCTGTGAGCTAAACATATCACATTCGATAGAGGCTGTGCGGCTGCATGCATGCGCTGGCCTCCCGCTTCGCCCATGCGCCTGTGCAGCTCCCATAACCCAGCACACATTAAACCCACCTTGAACCCGGCCAGCTTCTGCTGCGCCGCCTGGAGGGCCGCCATGTTCCTCTCCACCACGGCCTGCAGGGCCGACGCCCTCGCAACCGCCTCGTCCTTCTCGTGGGCCAGCGCCGCCTGTGACAAGCGGCAGAGGGTGGGGGTTGCATCAGCGGCCGCGTCTCAGCAAATGTCGACCCTTACACCTGATGCGCCAAGAGTCAAGATCAAATGTGCGCTGCTCAGCAGCGCCAGCTCGCATGTGTTTGCTGGCGGCGCGCGGCTGGACATCATATCAAGGTCCCCTGCAAAGCTGCACCCTGGCCCACACCCATCCCCCAAAACCCACGAAGCGTGCGGCCAGAAACGGACCCGGCACCATCCTCACCTGGCTTGTGGCCAGCGCCACATCCTCCGCCTCCGCCCCTGGCCCCTGCTGCCACCCCACCACAACCCTGAGGGCCTTTGCCTCCCTGGTCATCAGCCGCAGCTGCGCCTGCGATGGTGGTCGGTAGGACAGAACGGTCTGGTGAGTTGTGGTTGTGGTCACAGCAGAGGCTGGGACAGGCTGGCTTGGAGCTGAGGGTGCAGGGGAGTGTGCAAAGCTGTCGGCACCGCCGGACTCCTGTGCGATACAACTGGAGGGCTTGAGGGCAGTGCTAGCCGTGATAATTCCATGCCCTGTCACCTCCCAACGCTCCAACAAGCCGCCCACAGGGCGGCGCGCGGGTAAGGCTCACCCGCCCCCCAAACAGCCCAGCCCCCCAAAGCCCCCCCAAAAGCCCCCGTAATCACCTCGTTGTCGGCGGACAGCGCGCTGATCCGCGCCTTGGACGCCTTCATTGCCCTGTGCTCCTGGCCCCAGATGCTTGCATTCTTCTCTGCTTTGCAGACATTGTCCTCCGCCGCCATCAGATCCTCCACTACTGACTTGTCATAACGGCGCCGCTGCTTGTTGTACTGCGCTATCTGCCCCTGCAGCTCCCCGACGCGCGCCCGCGCGTTCGCGGCGTCGCGGCGAGCCCATGCCACCTCGGACTTGAGCTTCTTGATCAGAAGCTGCGGCCCGGGTCGGCGGGGCGAAGGGGCGCAGCAGGTGACAGATGGTTGAAATTCAAAAACAGTGATAAGTTGCAAGCACATTGGGTCGTTGGGGCGGCTCAGAGTAGCCGCTCACAGACAAGCTGCAAGTGAGCCCTGCGTGCGCTGCCATTGACAATTACAAAATTGAACAGCCAAAAAGCGGCCCCAGGCCACTTCCAGCGGGCACATGGGCTTGGCATGGGCCCAACATCCCACACCCAGGCCAAAGCCACGATCTAGCAGCCAACCTCCGTGCGTGCCGCCCCGAGAGTGTTGACGGGGTACGAATCCTGCAGCTCCTGCTGCTGCTGCTCCCTGGTGTTGATGTTTGGCCACAACTGGTGGCTGGTTTGCTCAAACATGATACCTGTGGGCAGTAGGGGGTCGGCAGCAGCACATGGCACGCACATCAGGCCAATTATGCGCATCACTTGCAGGCAGAGCTGCATTGACCGCATTAAATATTATGTTACTTTTACTTTGCGTGATCATGGCGACATGCGTAGACCGCAGCGCAAAAGTCAATCGCGGATCAACGCAAAACGCACCTGGTCCTGTGTTGAACATAATTGTATGTATTGTACTTGTATGGATTGATGTTTGCTTGTGAAGTCAGCCTTGCTGATCGAACGTGCAGAGCAATTGTTTTGTGGCAAAACAATAGCGCGCGCTGCTTGCTTGCAAGCTTTCGCTGCTGCGATGGTCAATCTGCTTGGTCAACGCTGCTCATGATCACGAGCTTGTCGGCGCGTGTAGCGCATCGTACAAACAACAAATTGTTGCTGGAATACGTAGCCGAACCTGTGTTCGTACAGCCATGCAGGTTGCATATATTTCCTACACACAACACACGCTGCTTTCCCATGATCTTGAACCGAGAAATATTGTGCAACACTGGGGTCATTGTATCAATAAAAGGTGGCTACTGCGCCTGGGTACTGCCATCCCAGTGGCATCAGTGAAGTACGGGTGGATCCAAGGCTGCCGTCATCAGCCACACCAACTATTGGCCGCCGCAGCCAAGGTAGCCCATCACCTGAAACCTGAGTGATGGGCTGGAGAAGGGGCACTACAGGGACCTCGTGCACCGCCAAGCTTGGCATGGCATCTGTCCTGCTGAGCCCATTGAACAACGGACTAGATGAGTGATGTGTTGTGCATCGGCGCGGTGCCACTCTACCGTGTTGGTGCCACCACGCTTGATCTGCATCAACAGATTGTATGGGAGCTGCGATTGCACAAGCAGCGAGCCATACAACACACCACGGCCCAATCCCTTTGCTGATGTCACCTGCCCGTGCTGCTGCAGCACACTTTCCTGACAGTGTGGTGGCTGTTGTCCACAGGTGTACCGTAGTACACCCAAAAACGCTTTTGCTGCTTTGCTGCTTTGGGTTTGTTATCTTTTTGCTGCATTCATTGCATTCTTCCACAGCTTTGACCTTACATGGCAACAAGTCACGTCGGGACGGCAACAGACTAAATGCTGCACCACCAGTATGCATGGCATCAAACCAATGTACAGGCCACGTGACTCCGCCGGCTGCCAAGACTGGCCGCGCCAGCGACGACATTCCACGACCGGCCGCCGTGCCGCGCCGTGTCACCGCAGCGCTGACGCGAAGCGCTCCCGCACCTGCGCGATGGCGAGGCCCGCGGCGCTGCTGGGGGCCACGGCCGCCTGGATGCGCGAGAAGAGGTCGTTGTCCTTGATGCGCGCCGCCACCTGGGCGTGTGTGTGTGTATGTGCGCGCGCGCGCGTGTGTGCTTATGCCGTGTGCAAACACATGTGCTGGTGTGTGAGCAGGAAAAAGATTGTGTAAGCACACTGCACGCTTTTGCATGTGTGCGAGTGCAGCAGAAATTGACTCACTGCCGACGACAAACGCGGCGTGGGCGCCCTTACCAAGCGGACGCCCATCCTCTGCTTCCGGCTGCCTGGCTCATCCAGGTATTGGCCGTCCAACACTCCACATATCCTCCTTTCCCCCAAATAGCCCCGCTTCATAACCCCTCCTAGCTGCCCTGCACCCCGCCCCACCCCGCGTCCCACACGGCCCGGCGTGTGCACACGCGCTCACACACACACACACACACACGCACGCACCTCCGCCGCCTCCCTGGCGCAGTCTATCGCCGCAAACGCCTCCGCCTTTTTCGCGCTGTCGGGCATGCGTCCGATGAGCCTACCAGCAGGCGGGCGTGCATGCAGGCGGGAAGATGGCGTGTGCGCAGACGGCGTTGGGGGTTGGGGCCGTGGTTGGCATAGCAGGCAGCGTTTTGAAAGATTAGGGGAAGGGGGGCTGTCCAGAGGGTCGTGTGGAGGGGGCCGGATACGCCTAATTGATGGCAGCGACACAGCAAGCTTCAACATCGCCCCGATCCTTTTGGAACGGCGCTCGGCGCAACGCTGTGCCACGATAACTCAAGACCGCTGGAGCCAAATGCCACCGCAAACCCCGCACCTGGCCTGGTACTCCCGGGGTGCGCCCCCACGCTGTGCTGACGCCAGCACTGCGTCCCACCCCATCACGGGCCCCTGGCACAGGAGGGGTTTAGAATCAGGGTTTGGGGCTTGGTTTGTGGAATCAGGGTTCAGAGGTTGCGCGGGGTCTAACGGGCGTCCCCAAGCGGGAGTGTGGGAAGGGGGAGACGGCCCACGGCGGGGAGGTGGAGGCGGAGCAATGGATGCCAGGGGCACGCGGCAATGCTGTCGCGCCTGGTACCAGGATGGTGCGTGTGCTTGAACCATTGCATGCAGCGAAACCATCAACTAATCCGGCTGCAGTTAGGCGGCCTGGATAGCGGCCAATGCAAGCAGTAACACTGGCGCTGGGTCCTGTCGCCAGGTCAATCCCAATCTCCCCCGACACGCCGGTGATCTATCATCCACCTCTCAACCCCCCTTGATGAACAGCCCACGACAGACCGACGGCGTGCCGTTGTGTCATCAAACGGCTCGCAACAATGGTGGATAGGGGCCGGTGGTGGCAGGCCCCTGTCAAGGAGACAGCCCCTCTACAGTACTCCCAGCCGCCCGCACCTTGGCCTTCTCTGCCGCCCACTGGTCCAGGGCCTCCCAGTCCCGCGCCTCCACCAGGGCCCGCAGCTTCAGCCACTGCCACCTGCACACACATGGGGTCGGGGGTGGGTCGATTGGTGTGGGG